TCCTTCTTGTCCTGCTTCACTCTCTTACGAGACTCCTGGAGAAGAAACACGAGCGTTGAGCACTCGTTCGACAAACAGTTTTTATGAGACAGGAAGTGGAGTCGCACACCTTCAGTCTGATCTTGAGCTTTTTGGCCGGCTCGATGAGGAACTGCAGGCAGCTTTTCATCATGCTGGCAGCCGGAGAGCGAGGCCTCTGTGTGACGATAAAAGAGCTTTGGTCTGCTGGAGGGGGGCGACGAACGAGCACTGCAGAACTTTCAGCGCAGCGCTGCACTCGCAGCCTCTGAGGCCTCGTTATCAGACGGAGCTGTCGTCCTGCCTCACTGACCTTACCACCAAGCTGAGCTAGGAAAGACAGAAGTCAGTGAAATATTTGTTTTCAAAAGGATCGGTCCAAAATAAGCAAGTGCTAATGAAAGCATGTGTGCCCGGTCAGAACATCAGAACTGTCCGGCTGCGTCGCAGTGAGGATGCAGACAAACGGTGATGCTTGCTGCCTCTCAGGTGCCGAGAAGAAAAAAGTGCCTAAAGCTAACAAGAACCCCTTACAGGTAGTTTTAGGAAGGTGCTGCTTGGAGCGGGGGGGGTTGTGCATGCTAACGCTAACACACTTTGCTTTGTTTCATTTGTACTCAGGTGTTGCAATGTTTTAGGCTGAAAAACCAAACAGGAAGTGATTCCTGACCGAGCCAAGCCGAAGCCTCTTTAACAAAAAGTGATGAAACTGAACTCTGTTTGCAGCTTTGCTGACGATTCTCTGAGCAGAGGAAGAGGAGGCTGGAGGACAGCAGCAGCAGCAGCAGGTAGATGATCTCGTGTCAGATGAACTCAGACAGCTGCTTAAATGAGAAGCCCAACGCTTTCAGCTGAGGCTGGCACCTTGTTCCCATAATTCTACCGTTCTTCTTTCAGCTGCTCACTTCTTCAGGGGTCGCCACAGAGAACTAACTCGCACGAAGACTTGGTGGTTGTTTTTACACCGGATCTCCTTCCTGACACGACCACCGAGCTACCACAGCCCTCTGTGTGGAGCTGAGAGCTGCTATTTAGGACACTCAGGGGAGCAGAAGGTGGGGGTTAAGAGCCTTGCTCAAGGGCTCAGAGTGGGGCAAATGAGGGTGGAGTCAGGTGTTTCACCTTTCCCACCCATATTTTATTGTCGGTCCGGGGAGTTGAACCGGCGACCTTCCGATCACAGGCCCACCGTCTCTGACCTGTTTTCCTGCTATAAATGGAGAAAAAAATGGACAAAAATGTTCAAGATCTTTTCTTTTTGCATTTTACTGAAAACAACAAAGGAAAGAAGCCGAAGGATTAAAACTTGAGCTGATGTCTTGTCTCTGAACGCAGTGGCTGAATCTTTCAAACCCTTTCAGGGCTTCTGGCCCATCTTACACGCTGCTGAGCAGCTTCTGCAGCATATTTACAGCAGGAGTTGGTAAATATAAAGAACAAACAGCATAGGGAACGGAGCAGCTCGGGCCCTGAAATGATCACACCCTGCTCTGCAGCCTCAGAGAAATGTTGCAGTAACAGGACTTTCAGACACGCCTGAGCTGATGCGTCTTGTTCTTGGGCTCAGAAATTGCAACTGTGTTCCCCTGGTGTTATGAGGCAGCAGCATGGGGGGGCAGCTTGATGTTGATTCAGCAGTCAGTCGCCCCTGCATACATCACTTTGTTGCACTGAGGAGATTTGCTGTTCTTTCTGCAGCAGCCGAGCCAGAACCATGTGAACTTCACAAAAACTCACGTTACTGAACGATGAACAAATCTACATCTAGATCAACGATGGGTTCTGTTTGAATGACTCTGTGAAACGCAAATACTGTGGTATTTTTAATTTACTTTAAAAAAATACAACAATCAATTAATGCTGCTCAAATCTACAGTCCAGAGTAAATGAATAAAGATGTGTTCCTGCTGGGATGGTGTGTTTATTTGTGAGCGTGCAGGTAAAGGAGCTGGAAGATTAGAGGAAATCCAGGATTACAATCAGTGCCTCTGCAGTACAAAAACAAAAGAGCACTTTCTATATTGGGACTAGTTCATTTGGACTGAATGCGAGTCCAAACAACAAACTGAGGCCAAATGCTGCTGCATTCAGTTGTTGCGCTATTAAAACAAACCTGCGTACAGAGCATAAAAGTAGCTGCGCAGACCAATAACTACACGTAAACAGTGGGTTCCTGCATCTTAAATATAATAAATTTAAAACACACCTTTTTATAGTAGAAATTCCCTCTGTCCGGTAATACTTCTCGGATTCTCTGATGTTTTTCACCAAACTGAGCCGTCAGTCAGGAGCACTGCTTTGATCGCTGCGACGCGAGGAGAGCGCGCTCTTTAAACTGCCGCCGCCTTCAAAGACAGCCGCAGTTTCAAAGCTCGGCCGCTAGAGGCCGCCACGTTAAAAATTAACTGCAGTTCCACAGCTCGGCCGCTAGAGGCCGCCACGTTAAAAATGAACTGCAGTTCCACAGCTTGGCCGCTAGAGGCCGCCACATTAGAAATGAACTGCAGTTCCACTTCTCTATCGCTAGAGGCCGCCACGTTA